TAAAACCACGGGCTGATCGAGAATCTGCTCGCACTCTGAGGACGTGATCGCCATTTTAGTGTCAGAGTCTCGTCGCGTGCGCCCCTTTGGCGACGCGTATCTTGTAGTGCTCTTTGGTTTGGCGTACCGGCGTTCGTCCTCAAGTGCGAGGGTTCTCATCGAATCTGCCGTGAGCGATCGGGAGTGTCGCGAGTCGCGTATCGAGCCACCCGGGGATCGTCGTCGCGAGTTCGCCGCAAAGCCCTCGCGCCTGAGCGCGCGAGCGTTAGAGTAAGTGTGTGAGTACGCGGAATCACGAGTGTCGTGCGTCGCGCTGTAGTGTGGCATTGCGCGCGATTTCGTTGCGTATCGGTGTAAGTCCACTTTCTATCTGCTTCGTTTTTGTGCGAATGTCCGACGCGTAAGCTTACGATTGACTTTCGCGGTAATAATTGTTGTCGTTAGACCTCGGTACACGCATCGTACCGAGCCCCGTCCGTTATTGTACAATCGCGCCGACTAGTGTTGAATGCGTTTCTTTTTGTTTCCGGCCGAATTACATGCCTATTTCTTATCTTTTTCTGTCGTACACGGGAATTCATCGTGCCGTCGGACTATCCGCGCTTATTAGCGTTGAATCAGTCGCGTCACGTCCGTACTTTTCTACCGAACTGTGTTATCTTTTTCTTTCTCCGCCGTTTCTTACCGCCTTTCCAGGCGGCCAATAAACCTGACTATTATTTGTTATTATTAGCAATTTGGAGTACGAATTCTTTCGCCCGCCCCGCGCCATCCCATCGCCCTTTTGCCTCGCCCTGCTCCTCTACCGTTAGGTAGAGCCGGCCAGCCCTCGTGCGATCGACTTCGGGAGCGGCGTTCGATGGTCGAGTGTCGTCGCGCGTAAAGACTTCGTTCGCGCTATCGCGCAATCGTTCCGTTTCGCGAGTGACGTGACCTAGAGCACGTCTGGCGCCCAGTTTCGTGTCGCCGCTCCTCGTCGGTCGCCGGAGGGACACATCCTGGAGGGCTGCCACCTTCCCTCCCCGGAATCGTACGCGATTTCCGCCCCCTTGTTTGATCCGTGCTCGCGCGAATTATTTATTTCACGGGAGCACGTGACAGTATGCATTCATGTAACTCATGTTCATTATTTCTTATTATGTTATTAATAATAATATTGTCTTTCTGTTTCAGAAAATCAATCTTCTGAGAAAGGCGGTGGCGAAAGAGCGGCGAAAAAACTCTCAATATATGATCCAGGCCACGGCGCTGGGATATATGCAAGTGCCGCCGCCGCCGCCGCCATCGGGATATGGGCAGGCACCGTATGTCCCATCGTCGTCGGG